AACTATACTTTATTTCTACTTATTTTTAGCAAACAAAAACCACAGTTGAAAACAAAACACTGATTGTACCCTGATGAGGTAGAATAAATGATTCCTTTCTGTTCTTCATGCTACATCAGTGTCATTGACCATTTTTCTTTGCATTATCTCCCAACAGAGGCACCGTGTAGCTCCCCACCCTTTGATTCTGGTCCTGGTCTCACATGTTGCTCTGACCTGAAGGACTGCGGACAGCAATGGCGCTGTGCTGGTTCTGAGACGAATCCTTAAGAATTCCTGCATGTCTCTGCTCTTCCTTCTTGCACCTTTGCCATCACCACAAAAAGAGCTTCTCCTAAACATCTGATGCCCCCACAGAGAGGACAGATCCAGACTGAACTCAGCAAGGAGTCAAGCCGATCCAGAGCTGTGACACAAAGCAGAACCTCTAAGCTTAGCCCAGCCCAGATCTGTCCATCCCCAGACCAGTAGAGCTACTGGAGTAAAAGCTTACTGGTGTACACCCAATATTGTACCTGCTTGATCCCTAGCAAGGTCTGAAGAGTACAGCTAAATATTCATGTGTTTTCAATCATCGCTCTGAAAAAACACCTTTTTGTGTGTCAGAATTTGGAGTTGGGGGTAATTCTGGATGCTAAATAATACCACAGACACTGAAAACAATTGTCACCATTCAAACCCTTTGACACTGGTATGTATCAAGAAATGAAACAGGCTATATATTTTTCATGATGAATTAGGTTTATCTCAGTGGTTCCGTTTTCATTTGGTATCACAACTGACTTTGGTTTGAGGCAAACAGAACTATAGACCAGAGTGAGGAATCTGTGGCTTGCTCTACTGAGGATGAAGGAGGTTTCCATCTTGAAGCCTACTCTCATGGTCCTACAAGAAGCTTTTGCTCATGACCTAAGGACCCAGGGGTTTTTACCCCTTATCACTATAAGAAGCAAGAAATACAAAACTAAACAAAGAGTGTCACATGCTGGTGTACCTTCCAAGAACTTTGATCTCACAAGGATTTTTAGTAATGAGAAATGTGACACTTGCCCCCAAACATGAGTGCCACTTTGGTGAAGTGAACATGTGTCAGCACACAGCAAAATCCTAGAACAGGGACAGGAAGAACTTGAGTTGCTCACATGAGGAAGACCTCTCACTCAGTCTTTGAATTTCTGCCTTTCAGTTGAAACAAAATCCATTTCAGAAAATACTACCTAAGTTTTGGGAACAACCATTACGGACATACTTCAGTATTGCTCCTGACCTGTGTCTGCTACCCTACATGACCATTTCAAATGAGTCCATTAAATATCATTGTTTAACTAAGACTTAAGTCTTTGGCTAGAGTTAGATAATGTGTTGCTTTAGTAAAGACATGCAAGTCTCTACTCTCAGAAATATCTACAACTTAATTTACAGTGGATGCCTGAAACAGTGAAGTGAAAGTCTATGAAAATAATAAAGTCCTTCTCTAGCATGTTCAGTGGCTGTCTTGCACATTTTCAACTGTTCCTTTCCAGATACTGAGAATGGCTTGCATTTTATATACTTTTGCATTGTTGCCTGTCACATATATGGGCAAATTGTTGTTTAAAAGCTGCAACGTTAAAATTGAAGGAAAACTTACGCTTAGAATGGTAAATATTCCTGGATTAATGGAGTAGTGGCAGACATACTCCAAAAATTGACTGAAGTCTATGATATTAGAAAGACAGAAAATTTATCTAGTTTTAGCAAATGTCAAATCAGTAGCTATTGCTTTTAAGATTAATAAAAGATATAATGGTTTCTAGATAGCCTCTAAATAGAGATTACTATGAATAGAGAAGTGATTTACCAACAGTCACCACAATGAGATTTCTTTAAAGGTTACAATCATCAGTTATTTAGTCGCACACTGCTGAGAATGCCTGGTCATTTCTTGAATAATGCATAATGTTCATTGTAGATTTGATCTGTATTATAACAATACAGATATTTCTAAAATAATAGAAAAAACTATCTGTTACCTTCCAATTGCTTAACGTATCATTTCCATGAAGTAATTGCCTCAGGACATATTACACGCTGTCACCTGAGTGTTCTTCCTGCAGGCATAACGTGCAATAATCTGTATACAACGGGCATCACAAAACAAACTCATCAACCTTTATAGACTGCTAAGAAAAGATGTGATGAATACAGGGCAGAGTAAAGGACCTTTCTGAAGCAGTAAATTTAAGAGATTAAATTTCTATATAGTAGTGTGAGACAAATTTAAATTTAAGCTTTGAAATTTAATTATTAACATGATCAACTCATCTCATTAAAAAAAAATGTTGCTTGTACACCGTAAGTATTTTTCATATAAATTTCCAGACGCCGCTAGGTTTATTCAAGAGACTGCTTGGAGAAGCACGAAGCATAATGTCTACATTTTATTGTTGGATTCTGAACTGCACTTCACATGACGCTGCAGGCTATTTATATAAGCTTGTTTATCCATATGAACTTCTTCAAGGGCATAACATAGAAGACCTTAATAAATTAAAATGAATTTCTTTTGATGTTGTTGTTTCATGAATGTTTGATCAGAGTGAGTTGTAGTTTTGCATTAAAGAACTAGAGTACAGCAATAAAATGTATACATATTGTACAGCAGAACTAGTTTACAGAAAGTTCCCATTGAAATCCCTGCAACTGTTTTTTTTTTAAGAGTTTATTTACTTATTTGAAAGGCAGAATTACAGAGAGAAAGGAAGTGAGAGGAGAGAGGACAAAGTCTTCCATCCACTGGTTCACTCCCCCAAATGGCCACACTGGCCAGGAGTGTGACAGGCTGAATTCCGGAGCTAGGAACTTCTTCCTGCTCTCTCAGATGGGTCCCGGTAACTTTTGAGAGCCATGGTGGACAGTATGGAGTCACAAAGCTGATGTCTTCCATTCTACGCTCTTGGCAGTTCACTAACAGTGAAAGGGAACCTACATCAACTTAGATGTTACACCACTAACTGAATGGGATTTTTTTTTTTTAAGTAATAAAACCTGTTGCCTCCTTCTGGGCTTCTCAGGATCCACCTTAACCTCCTTGTTTTCCTCAGTGACACTACCAAACCCTTCCAAGACTACAACCCTGGGCTGGATAGAGACCATGTTTGTTGTCTTTGTGTCCATCTTAATCATAATAAGTGTTTACAACTTGAACTTACTGAAGATCACAGACCAAAAGCTGAGGAAATTTTCACCTGAAGCATTTGATGATGGAGATACAAAACAATTATGTCTAGAAACAGTGTGACATGATAGAAAGAGCACTAGCCAGAAAGGCAAGAAAATAGGATTCATGATCTGCTGACACCCAACAAATCAAGGGAGTCTTACAGGGTCTATAAGTTTGCATCTCTAAAAAGCCATGATTCTAAATGCAGGGTGGACCACCACGACCCAGAACAATAGACAGACAACAGAAACATCCAAATTGTCTACTCATTTCTACCAAGAAAGCTGAGTCACTCCACAATTCTTTGTAAAAAAAAAAAAGTAGAAAGGATCATTATGATGAAAAAGGAAATATAAGCCCACCCCATAAATTCATTTCAAACTGAATAATTATTTTCACATCATGGAGTTGCTAACCTGTTACACTCATCCTGTCATGGAATAAACATAAAGATAGCATGTGTGCATAGTGTATTACCCACTTGATGTCTATGTCCTCCAAGTCAGAAAGACTATAAAAGGACGGCATCAGTGTTCTTCGGTTTGCTGGTCCTGGGTTACCTTGTCCTGACACGTTGGGAATAGCCCTGCTGTGTGTTCTCCTCAATCTCTGAGTGCCACGCTTACATTTCCTGTAGTGTTTTACAACCTCGGGCCTGTGATGCCAACCTGGTGACTGCTGACTTTGGCAAATATGGTTTTACTTCAACACAGCCATGTCCTTTCATTTATGTGCTGTCTATGGCTGATTTCAGTCTACAATGACAGAGTTAAGTAGCCTCCAAAGCCTGAAATATTTACTGCTTCTGACACTTTCATTTCATCTTGAATACTAAAAAAAGATCACAGCTCCCCACCACTATCCTGTGCTATAAAACCAAGTATGCAAGAGCTTTTCCAAGGCAGTCTAGCAAGGTGTAATCACGAGACTAAGGAACCTAATTTAGTTCCCCACCAAGGGGGCTGCTTCAACTTCCCCAAATATCCAGTTTTATTCCATGCTCACCAGGGACATCGATAAAAGGTAAGGACAGGAGACTCTAACAAATCATTTAGGCCATACACCTTGAATAACACACCTTAAAGAAAGACCACTAATGGCCAAGGTCACACAGACATCAACAAACATATGTACATATATTCAAATGCTAAGAGTGGCATACTATTAATAGTCTCAGGAATACACAGGAAAATGCCTGTCTTAAATACCTTTAGAAAGGTCTAGCATTTAAAACAATTGTATAACAGTAATTGCATCAAGGATTTGATGAACACATCTATCTTTATAACTTAGGCAATATTCGCATAGAGAAATGATATATTAACACACAGACTGATTACAGCTAATCAATAAAATCATTAATTCAATATGCTGCTAAAGTTGGCCTTTGCTCCCAACCCTCCCTTTGGTGATTTAGGGTAGAAAACAGTAGCTCCACCCTTTAACAAAAATTCCCATATACCCCCCACTGAGAAGAATGTGCATGTATCAGTACCTCCTAAACGAAACCCAAGAAACACTTTAATGTATGTCATTTCATTCTCACTGCTGCGAAATCTTAGATAAAGTGGCAGACTACTTAGGATGCTGGACTTTCTGAAAAGAGAATAGAAATAGAAGAAGAGGTTCATTTCACCTTCACATGCTGTCTTTCTCATGCAGAGTTCAGATTTCCACATGTGTATCCCTTTAAAGGATTTGAGATGTAGGGAAAGAAGAAAGGATGATGGTAACCATTTCAGCTCAGAGACACCTGTAGACCACCATATTCCACACGCAACAGTGGCCTCAAACTTACCTTTCACTGACGTGTTGGGTGGAGGGCCTTCCATTCGCAAGTTCCACGGGGGGTCTCCCTGATTAGCAAAGTCCCTCATCTTCAGGTAGCTAATTGTAAGCCGGATGATGGACGCCTTGTCAAGCTGGCTGGTGATGGCTGCAGGGAGAGGCAACAACTTGGCCAATTCATAGAACTCAAAGTTTTCTTTCCCCCGGCGGGAGCGAGCAGCATCTCGGGATTTCTCCTTTCTCAATGCTTGTAAACTGAAATCAAAGGAGCGGGAAAGTGGTGTTTAGCGCATGTAAGTCTGTCATCAATCATAAACCGCTTTCTATTTTCTCTCCCTGTCCCCCACAAAGACATAAAAAAAATAAAACCTTCAAAATTTGAGGGCCGTGGTAAAATGAGTCCCAAATTTTCCCCATTAAAGCCACAGAGTCTGCCTCTGGCCTGCGTATCACAAACTCTAGTCCAATGAGTAACAAGAATGTTTTTTTTTTCTTGTTATTTTTTTCTTCCAATTGCCCATACATAAATAATAATGAATAATAAATCCCTTGTCCATTGGGATATATTCACTGTTTCTAAGATACAACAAGGGTTACAGGTGAGGCCTCATGTTATCAGCTATAAGATTTTAAAAAATTGAGATGATATTCCTACACCTATTCTCAAGCAGATGACTTTGTTCATCACCATGGGATCTGAAACCATCAAAAAGGAGACATTTTGCAAAATTTATTTCCATATCATCTTGAGGAACAAAAGGTAAGCATAAACACAATTCACTTTGACAGAATCAGCAAGGATAATGTTGCTGTTTCCAGCCTTCAGTAAGGATCACGACACCTTCAGTCAGATAAAGAAAACATCAAATTGAAAATGAAGATTTCAATGTAACTTTATAGATGCACTGATAACTGGGTGAGCAAATAACACTGCCAGTCTTTATTAACAGATATTCATTAGTAGGGACATGGATCCTCTAAGATACTAAAGAACACACTGCTCAGGACAGTCAAACTTTAGGAAATGTAAATTTAACAGTGAAAAATAAAGCCCTATATGGGTTATTAAAATGTATAAACATTACAGACATATTACTTCAGAGAAAAGACAACAGGTGGGAGCCAGCATTTTCCTTTAACTATTCATGGGCATTTCTGTTTGAAGTTTGCTCACATTGCTGAAGGGAGAATCTGGCACAACTGAAGTTGTGGGAGCATCCAACAGGAGAATTTCACCTGCTCTCAACTGCTCTGCTTTGTGTCTGATGAGAAATGATTTCAAGATCAGCCCTTGTGATGGATAGCTGGGTAATATTTACAGTATCAAGGTATTATTATTAAAAACAATCTTGAGTACTTATTTTATTAAACGCTGAAGGCATTTTAGGTCTTTGAGTCTAGCAGTCTGGCTTCCTATTAAAGAATAACGAGAATGAGAGAAACAAGAAAGGAACTAAGACCAGAGGAATGGATAAAAATGGGTTTGGCAGTGTGGCTCCACTATCTGTTTATACACTATGGAAAATCATACTCCATATTATCTCAAAGCATCCCTAACATTATCTGTGGTGGAAATGCTGCATTTACTGCAGATGCCCAAAATATCTTACTGAGTATCTACCTAACTCATGCCTTAATGCTCTGGTCAGATACTTTCTCGTCTACTATCTCTGCTTTATGTTCCCTTTATGTCTAAAACCTTCTACACTGGCAGACAGACGTACTTCTCAGAACTAGACAAGCTAATGCTATCAATTGCAGAGTCACAGAAGGCTCCAGTGCCAAACCTTTGTCCTGTGCTATCTCTCAGGTGATAACCTCAAGAAGAAACCTTTCTAATTTACGAGGAGAAGATGTGTTATGCCACTTATTTCCCAATATCTTGGCCAGGCTCCATTTAATTCTACAAAAGTTCCATTTTCATCTTGGTGAACACCATGTAAGTAAAATCAGAGATGCCTTAAAGTCCAAAATATATGTAAGTGTCACCAGGTTCCAGGTTAACAGCTTAGATAAGATTTTTTAGCCCCCCCCCTTTACTTAACAAAACGTATTTATCAAAGACCATTTAAGTCAGCTGTGTCAACAGAAATAAGCTTTTTGACATGTTTCCTCCCCAATGTGTTCCCAGGGGAAGAGGTTCAAGTGTAGTATTTTGCTTTGAGTTTGAGTGTATGTATGTGTGATCAAATACTATTCCAGAAGGTGAGCAACACCTACAGTTTTGTTTTTTTTTTTCTCTCAATAAGTGACTATGATGGAGAGTTAGGGCAGGGGTGGCAAACTCAAGGCCTTTCAGGGTTAACACAGGGAATGGCAATGTCTGAAGAAGCCCTGATGGGAATGGGAGGACAGACACCCCGGAGAGGGAGAGTGTGCACTTCCAGCTCACTACTGCTTAGGGAACAGCCTGCCTGGGCTTGGTAGATGGCTAGCACTGCACACTTCGGGAGAATATAATCTGATTTTTCCCAACTGTTCCCTATGTTAATATGATAACAAATGGAAGTTTTTAACAAGAGAATACAACAAATGAAAACATGGTATGGTCAAATATGAGTCAGGGGCTCCTTTTATAATTGGGTAATCACTGGGGGACAAATTTTGAAGGTAGTTTCACATAGATGTTACATGTCATTTTCCTTTATACATGTCAATGAAATGATCACAAATGGATTCATGTATCTTCTAGTCAATACTCCTGATACCCATGCAGGAATTTCTCCATTCAACTAAGGCAAAATAGAGGATGGAGTAACCATTCTGAAATTGCTATTAGTGCATAGGCTAACAAATAATCTAAAGAAACATGAATCCTGATGAGGCGGCCAAGCTCAAGTTCACAAGAACCAACAATCTGCACGGGACAGAGGGAAGGCAGCTTTTCTATACCCACTCGGGAAGGGGATTAAACAGGACACAATTGCCTGAACAACATCCTCTGATGTAGTACTTGCTTTCCTAAAACACCACTGTGTTGAACTTACTTTATATGTACCTACCCTGCCTCCGTGCTTTCTCTTCTCTCTATCCCCCATCCCCTTCTTAACTCTAATACTATATTTCCCTACTGGAATAATCTTCTTGGCCGCCATCTTAATAACAAAAGAGTTTCCATGACTCCCACATAACATCATTATGCAAGCACCACAATTCAGAAGATTTTCAGAAGAGAGTAGTGAGTCTGTAATAATTAGTAATTGGTTTTGAGGGCAACAGCAATAAAATACAAAGGATTATAAATGCTGTTGAGATATTGGTGCAATAGATGGAAGCAGAGACCTTTAAGACAACGACAAAGACTATAGAGTCATCTTTTGTTTGCTTTTGTGAAGTGAAGCCTAGTTATAAGCAACTCTCAACTGGAACTGATTACATTAAAACCTAAAATAATTTAGTGTTGCTATATTTTGTTTGAAACAAAAAAATATGGTATATTTCTGGAACACTAAGGAAAGAAAGGATTGGTTGTACATGAATAAAATATTACATGCTAAGCTGTCCCATTTAATGTATGATTGAACTTCAGCTTACCAGTCATTTTGTGTGTTTAAACTTTCCCCTGCTCTAATATTCTTCCACACAGACTGTGAGTAGCAAGGAGACTCCTCATCAATCCTTGGACATAAAAATTTGAGCTGATTGCTACCTTATGATCCTCACAAATAACTAGCACCAACATAAAACAAAATCAACAAATATTTTCAAAAGACACCCATAAACATATTTCTCTGGGGGGCATATGAAAAATTGTGTGTGTGTATATTTATATATGTATTTGAGGGGAAATAGTAAATGATTTTCATATTCTCAACGGGTCCATCACCCTAGCCTAAAGGGCAATAATCTAGCTGCCGAATTTCCTCTTACAGGAGCATGGGATGTAGAGCTACAGTGCTGGGTATAAATCCCAACTCTGCTATTTTCTAATTATGGAAACTTGAGCAAGTTATTTAATTTTCATCGCCTCAGTTTATTTCTGTGATATGGAATTATAATCCTATCAAATTCATAATGGTGTTGTTAAAAATAAGTGAGGGAGGAGCTGGCACGGTGGTGTGGCAGGTAAAACTACTGCCTGCAGTGCTGGCATCCTTTATAGGTGCCGGTTCAAGTCTTGGCTGCTCTACTTCTGATCCAACTCTCTGCTAACGTGCCTGGGAAAGTAGTGGATGATGGTCCAAGTGCTTGAGCCCCTGAACCCACATGGGAGACCTGTAAGAAGCTCCTGGCTCCTGATTTCTGAGCTGCCCATCTCCAGAAGTTGCAGTCATTTGGGGGCGAACCAGCCGATGGAAGAGCATGCTCTAATTCTGGCTTTCAAACAAATAAGTAAACCTTAAAAAAATAAGTAGGGGACCACTGTTTTGGCACAAGCCACTGCTTGTGATGCTGACACGCCATATTGGAGTGCCTGCTCAGGTCCTGGCTGTACTACTGCTGATCCAGCTCCCTGCTAATGTGCCTGGGAGAGCAGTGGACTAGAATACAGTTCTCCTGGCTTTGACCTTGCCCAGCCCTTGATGTTACAGCCACGTGGGAATTGAACCAACAGATGGAAGAGCTTTCTCTCAAACAAAATAGTATTTTTTTTAAAAATAAATGAGTCTCTTTTTTGTAAAATGTTAAAAATGGTGCCTGGTATATAGTAATGCCATCTAAGACACAGTGAATGAGAATCAAAGCTCATTTCACACTAGTCGTTCCATTCTTTGAACATTCACCTGTTGTTTATAACATACACTCTCTTCTCATTCATATGACTCCCATTCATTAGTTCTGACACATTATATTGTTTACTTAAGTAAAATAAAAGTTCTTTATCAGAAATATCAATCTTCCTTTTATTATAACTATCATTATGACTATAGTCTACCTACTGTGTATTACAGCTTTAATGAGTTGTTCAAATTTAAAAATATATACATTTAATTAATGGAAGCCTAAAGGCTTGGAAGTTATCTGTTTAGGATATTAAGTTGCTTATTTCAATTCAGTAAATTAGAAAAATAATTGTAATCTCAGGAAAAGCAACTTTGCTTAGCTATAAAAATGAGCATTTACTTTATTTAAACGATTGTCAAGAAAATGAATTGCTTAGGAAGATTTTGCAAATGTATATGAAAGATTTTTAAATGAAAGTGATAATTATCAGCTAGACAGTGTGTGTGTGTGTTTCTGGAAGGAAGATGATACTTCAAGACACCTACCAAAGATCAAAAATCTAAAAGATCTCTTGGATGTCAGGTGAAGCC